CTTTTAGTAACTTTAACGAGACCTTAACTTATTTTATTTTATTCATTTTAGTGCAGTTTTGACAAAATTTTCTTGCTAAAAAATCTTTTGTTTCACTACTTTATTTTATTCCTTTGATTAAACATGTTAAATAAAAGCTTATTTTTAAAAAAATATTTTTTTTACATTACTTTTTTATTTTTAATTTATTAACTTCTAATTTTTAGTCCATTTATAAAAGCGTTGTATATTAAAAAGTTTTATTTTATTTTATGTAGAAAATTTTGCAATAGATGTTAAAATAATTCAACTTTCAATGAAAGAGAACAGAAGACTATTCAAGCAAAATGTTGTTTGCTTACGTTTTGTATAAACATACATATGTACATACATACATATAGCAGCAGTTAATTTCATTTAAAGAAATGGCGTGTCGTCCACTTCCGCTGTAGCATGGCATATATTTAGGCGCAATATTAAAGTTCTTCTGGCGGGGAAACTTCTCGAGTCTTCTAATTGTATCTCCTTGATATGATGCCTACAACGAGGTTCATATCTAGACTAGGTTGATATCTAGAATTTGCCATAAATAGCTTTGCTCTGGTTTTACGTTCTTTGGCAAATTACGCTCTGTTAGCCATAAATTTTACTAATTTTTGACCGACTTTGAATCAAGACCCCTGGACCATATAGGGAATTCATTTATATTTTAAATTGCATTGTCATCGTGATTGGAACTATGCTGAAAATTTTAAGTCTCTATCTTGTCGGGAAGTTAGTTTAAAATCGATTGGAAATTTCCACGATTTGCGCGGGATGACCAAGTTAAATAAAAGCTTATAAAAAAGCCTGAAAAGTCCCAGAAAAAATCTAAAAAAAAAAAACAATCATCCCAAAATCTCACACGGTCCTGAAAAAATTACTAGTGTTTAAGCGCGACTGCTAACACCGGGCGCCTAAGTTAGGGCTATGTACAGCTGCATGTGCAAAAATTTCCTTTATGCAATTTTTTGCACATGCACTTCTCAACTGCCATGTAATTGAACTTTCTTAAGTTTGAAAAACATAATGGTCTCCCCTCTCACTGAGTTGAATCTAGATAGAAAAAAGTTTCAAAATTACAAATCAAAGGAATTTGCATGATTTGAATCATGCTTATGCAAACAAATGGCAAAATATATAAAATAAACAAATTACTAAATAATGTATGTACCTATTAATTACACTGTAAAATACATATACTGGTGGAAAAATAAGGCACTCCGCGCCAGTGAGCGGACTTCAAAAAAATTCTGTGGTAGAATCTGGAAAAAAATGTGGTAGATTTCAAAAGAATGTGGTAGATCTCAGGTTTTAGATCAAAATTGGTGCGAAAATTAAAAAAATTCTGCAAGGTTTCACCTAAATTGCAAACTTTTTATTTAGACTCAAAAAAAAAATTATTTTAGTATAATAAAGTGAAAGACTGAAGTTGCTAAAAATTGCGTTGTATTTTGGCAGTTTTTTCCTTATCAAGATATCTGTCGAACATATTTTAAGAGATTTCTGCAACCTTGCAGAGTGTTGCCAGCTTTTCTTTTTATCACATCGCGATGTAGCGAAAAAATGTGGCACGTTGCAGAAGCCGCTAATTGGGATTTACCGATTTTGACATTTCTCATGTAAAAGTAAAGAGCGCCTCAGAAACTTTAGATGCACTTAAATTTGCTAATACTTTCACAAAAATCGCCGTTTTTAACATTTTCGCTATTAATTCTTTTTGCAAATCATATATTTTGCATTTTAAAATGTGATTATTGAGAAAATTTACTAATTTACAGTTTATTTTATCCTCCCATTCGGCTTTGTTTACTTTTACTTGAGCAATTTCATCGCCGCCAGGAATACGGCATCTTAGATTATATCATTCTTGTTACCATATAGTGTTTAGTATTGGACAATTTCTGCTCTGAAAATTAAGGAAATTATGTCGAGCAAAAATCGCGAATATGTGGTAGATTTCAAACCTTGAGTGGTAGATGCTTAAAAAAGTGGCAGATCTACCACAATGTGGTAGAAGTCCGATCACTGCTCCGCACATTACGTGCTTAATCATAGTAGTGCAATCGTTGCAGCATACTAAAGTACGAAGCTTTTATGCCGAATACATGTATTTCAATGAAGCTCTGTATATTGCGATTCATAATCACGTTTTCGCCTAATCATAAAAGTTTCATGAATTCTTTCTTTTTTATTTAATTTTATTTTTTTTTTTTTAAATAAATATTTTCGTTAGTTTAGATTTTATTCTTTTAAAGAGAAATATATAATTTTTTTATTAATTTTTATGATATTAAAGTAATTAGGTTTCTGCCCTTATAAATTGTTGTTGAACTATTACTTCCTCGCTTTATAAAAAATATTCATTCATTAAATAACGTCTAGCGGATGAATGTATGTACATAAGTATCTACATACTAGGAATGTTAATCCCGGCCTTTTTAAGGTGCCAAAAATCCCGGGATTCTTGGCAAATAATCCCGGCATTTTCGGGAATTACAATTTGCAGTGATGGCAATAAAAGAAACTCCTCTTCTTGACTAGTATTGGCTATATTTCTTTTTTATTTAATAATGAATAGTAAATTTGAATAACAAATATCAATATATTCGCGAAACCAAGGGCCAAATATAGTAAAATTGCGTTTGTAGTTTCTCACTCTGACGTCAGTAATACAAAAATGATTTAAAAAATTCAGAGAAATGTGCTTAAAGAAGAAGTATGGGTATCAAATTAAAGAGGAAATCCTGCAGAATTTAAACAGATTCAAGTTTTTGGGCAGAAGTACTGGTAAGTATTAAGAATGTCCCTTTAAAATTTTATCCCTGAAATTTTGGAATATTTGTTTTTGAAAAAATTATATGTTAAGAACTTATATAAACTCGATAACATCCTCGAATCTCGTCCTTCTAACTTTATCAGCTTAAAAAATTACCTACTCGTCCTTGTGAATCCAAAAAAATTAAATTTTATTATATTCTGAAGAAATTTCCCTTGCATTTGGTACCCATATTTTTATTCTACATTGCACTGAATTTTTTTAAATAATTTTTAGAATTAATCATATCTTTGAAATTACAAATCCTGACGTCAGAGAGAAAAAATAAAAACGCCTCTTTTTCGATTCAAGTTGTTGAAAAGTAATGAATATCTAAATCCCGGGATCTCCGGACTGTGATAACGACATCCCGAAAATCTCGGGATCGGAAAAAGCTGAAAAATTAACATCCCTAGTACATACATATGTATGTACATACATATGCATGTATGACATTGGTATTTTACATTTACATTTACGAAAATATATGCAATCTCTACGAATTTCGAATTTACGTTCGTAGTCATTCGGATTCTGTGATAGCAGTTTCATAGATTTCACGAAAATCGAAGCAACGATGGATTCTGTCCCTGCAAAAATTTAAGGACCAGGTAGACTACTGGGTCGTAGTTTTAAAGTATGTGCAAAAGGACCAGGTTGCATACTAGTAACTTGTTATGCTGACCTGGACCACTTCAAACATACAAGACTGATATATGTGTTGAACACCACCTCTTCGTGGCCCATCGGCAATATGATTCAGTACCCGAATGTGCCATGGTCCAAAAGGAGTAGTTATTTAAGTGGTCCCATGTTATGCAGCTTTGGACCAGAGGTGGCCAGGTCCAATGACATCGCAATGTTAATGTTGGTTACAAGGTAGCGTGGTCCAGTACTAGTATTTAACCTAGTCCCACTTTTTGCAGGGTGTGATAACCCTGATAAATAAACACGTACACATACGTTTATAAAAAACACGAGCACAACATATACACAAAACCGGTACTAGACTGTCTCGCTTTGATTTCGGAAGGCTTACACATTGAGAAGTTAGCTTACTGCCAATATACATAGAAGTATTACAATCATATATGGTAATATAGTATTTTTGCAACAGCGTATCACGGATAGTTTTTTAAAGAGGGCATCATGCTGATAAATTTGGCTTAACATAGTCATAATCTGCGTTTTTTTCCTTTGCGTTGCGACTACAAAAAAAAGCAGGAAAAGTTGCTTACTTTTAAAAAGGTAAATATTTCGTATTTGCCCTTCAACCCAACATCATGTAATCTTACCTACCTTTTAAAAGATTTTCGTTTTTGTTTCCAAAGGCTGCGAGTACACTGTAAAATATTTCAAATGGTTGAATGACGCCCTCGTAAAAAATATTTCTCATCAAAACCTATGGGTGAGGGGCAAAAAACAAAGTTGTCACTGTGCTTCAATTTTCAGAAGAAATTAAAGTTCCAGTCACACCTTGTAACTTTTATATCTGAAAATGATTTCCAAAAAACAAAAAAATTTTTTTTTGGGTGTTCACACGGGAAAGTTGAGTTTTTTTTCTAATTTGACAGCGAAGTGTTTGTTTAATTTTTCTATTAATAAACGATCTGCGGAGTTACACAGTTAAAAAATTATAAACGCACTCTGCCTTATCTTGAGTTTCGCCTGAAAAAAAGTTCACCCGAGAATTTGTCATCCGCCCATAGTAAAACCATGGAAACAAAGAGTGAAAAGTGAACCGGTTAGGGGAAAATGAAACTTATGATAAGGCTGACTGTATTTTGGCAGGGCAAGTGCAACAGTGTTTTATATGCATTTTCTATTTCTTAAGCCTCTTTTAATCGCCCTTTATCAATAGACACGGACAACTGTTGCCTGCTGGTGCCATTTCCGCTTCGTTGCTGTTCAAGTTCGGCACATACATATGCTGTTGCAACTACTAATAAACAGTGAAACCAAGTGCATTTGTGCAGCAGTTTCGTATTTATGTATGCCTTAGTGAATATATGTGCGCGATTAATATTGTAGGTTAGTATTAAAAAAAAATATCTAAATTTACAAATCAACTTCGAATTTACCTTAAATGCATTTGCTAACATGTCTTTTGTTGTATTGCAAGAGTCCTTAAAATATTCTATGACTTCACTGAAAATGCTCAAATTATTTGGCATGATAGATGAAATTTTCGAAACAGATGCGTGTGAATCAAGTTCAAGCAAATTTTGTGCCACGCATTTGACATACTCGCAAAGCTGCAAGAGATAATATGAAAGCACTAATGAACTGATAATTATGTGCATATTAGCGTACATGATTACAACGCCATGAACAATCCTGCTGCTGCTCTTCGATAGTTTTCCACGGTAGAGCTAAATATCCTGTAAGGCTAATATAGATGTTGGCGATAGCTTGACGCGGTAAATGTGCCAATTTGGGGCCGGCTTGCATAAGCCGAAGCACGAATAGCGTTTCTAATAAACGTTTTGGTCTTATCACAGTCGAAATACAGAGTAGCAATTGACCTAAAAATTTGGAAATGTTTTGGTAGGGTATAATGTTAGCTTTTTTTTATAAAACAAACTCAATTAACCCTTTCGAGGACTCAATTAAAAAGCCAATTGAAAAGGTTAATTTTTGTACTGAGGATCAAACCTTCAGCAACAATACTGCATATTTGGAAAAACTTACTTGCTGATATCGCAACTACCGGTGCCACTGCGACATTGTCTGGCAATAAGATAACCCCGAGCGCATCTAAGAGGCATTGAATCACTTCATCTTGCTTCAAATTAATCGATATAGGTAATATGCTTCGCAACGCGGTTAGTATTTGAGCATATCTGCAAAATAGCATAAGAAAGTTAAAGGATATTTCATTTTTCTAACTTCTAATTGAAACTCACAAGTAATCAAAATCAGTCTGGAACGTCGACTTATCAAGGTTTAATGTTGCAATTTTGTTACTACTAAAGAATTTGAGCAATGTCAAGAGGTTTTCAGTAAGCAACTTTAATTGACTTGTTACTTCTGCGCCCACTTCTGGTGAGCTGGCATCCAATAGTGGGGACAAACGCACTACAGCTTGGCAAACAGTTGATAAATCACGCAGATATTCATTAAAACTTTGACTTCTCAGCTTTCTACCCAACTCATATAGTTTTCCACTATCGAGATCATTTTCTAAAGACAGCAAGTAAACGTGAGGTCGTGTCCATTGGGCGGAAACTTGTGCGAAAACAGCATTGGGGCGAGATTCCGCTAAAAGAGCTACACATTCGATACACTGTGACAAAAATTGCTGCCACTCAGTTTGTGTCTATTACAAAACAAATTGAAATAGGAAAATTACACTGATTTAAAGAGCAGTAATTTGTTATTCTGGTGTATCGCGTAGACCGATATTCGTGAAATTTTTCGTATTCAGTTACGGCATTTTTCGTAGATTTAACGAACAATCGGACTACGATGGATTCAGTGATAGCCCTGAATAATTTATCTAAATTTTACCAAGCAAGAAAGCTATAAAAAAATCATACTTATTTTGTACGTACATTTTCTTCCATCAACTCGTTGTCTAACAGCTCCAACTCTGATTTATTGAACTCAAACAATATGCGACGCATTATTTCCACGACTAGTTGATAGAATACATCATTGTAGCGATTTTGTTTTGAGCTCAGCACAATACCCTTTATTATAGGAGTCCATATCTCCAACTTTTCCGTAAAATCTAGCGCACCATTTTCTAGCAATTCGTTAATTTTGGTTATAAAATGAAATTTCGTCATAGTCATACAGGGTTGACTTACTTGAAATTGTGCAACAGTACAACGATTTGAGAAATGATTCTAATAAATCATTCTGCTGCAGCATCTTCGACCAATACCGGTCAGTGTAGAGTCGCAAGAGTTCCCTGAATTTGTCTGTATACATCTCGCTTTGATGCTTAGCGGTATTATGTTGTTCCAAAAGGCCATTTATACCCGTCATCATCGTTAAAGCGTGCGGCAGTGGCTTTTGAAGATACATCAGCTCATTTAGCACAGATAGCGCCGCCAATGAGATGTCAGGCTGGGAAGCACGCCATTGTGCTAAGTCTAAAATGCTCATAAGAAAATATTCTGAAATCAATTCAGTTCGAGTCCATGAGACGAGGTGTTGCACACATGTGAGTAGCTCCAATGCTGAGGAACTGTACATTATTCAAATGAAATAGTTAACAGACATACATTTATATCACAGTGGGATATTAACACAAATCACAAAGGAGTGACAGAAAATACCTTACCTGAGTTGATTGTCTTTTGGCAGCGATGTAGTTAGGGCGTAATCCACTAGAGTGTTGGGTAGGGAATGAATGTCTTTATCGTTGATATGGCAAACCG